GGAGAAATCCATTCACTAAAAAGAACATTACACAAGACACATTCATTTTAAAGGATTTATTTAAGTCTATTTAGCAGGGATATCGTCAGGAATGTTTTGTTTATATTGAAGTTGTTGAATTTTTAGGCTATTTTCTTTGGCTGAGTAAACACTAGAAGAAATTTTAGAGGACAGGTGGACAAAATAATGTCAGGATCTGGTTTTCCAGAGCATGGTCAAATTCAACTGAAGGCTGAACAAACCAAGTGATCTCAGCTGCTCATCACACACTTTGCCCTCTAGACTCTTCTCCATAGCTTCTTCAAGTTCTCCCTTTGACTGACTCTCTCTTAGTTTTATGTCCTTCTTACATCATGGCACCCAAAACTGCACACAGTTCTCAAGTGAGGTTTTGTCAGATACATGTTGGCAGCTAATGGGATAACTTTATTCTTACTTTTGGGATCAATACCACTGATATTTTTCAAATGCCATAGAAAAACTAACTCTAAAAGCAATCATTGCATTCTGAAATTATTGGCATTATTTGCAGTTCTTTGCATTGTTTTCATGACTGCTCTTTTCTGTCTGTTTTTCTATCATCTTATGGCTTTCATGGTATATTTTTTCTCTGATGCTATCGGCACAATAGAAGTTGTACTTTTCTCTGGTGCCAATACTAGTAGCTTCTGTATCATCCTCCATCACTGCTGTTGGAGTACATTTAGGTGGTAAGTCTTGAAGTGCAGATTTCTAAGACATTCATTTGCTCACAAGCTTTTCAGAAGTAGATAAGAACAAAAGACAGAAATATTCTGCTATTGCAGAGAGGTTCATGGAAAAGGAAAGCAGTACAGATCCATTTTGAACTAACAGAAAATTCTGTTCTTACTTACAAACCAATGAGATTAAATTAACATAGACCAAAGGAATTTACTCAAAATGTTCAAGGAAGCTAACATAATTTCACAGTGGATTTTACAAGCCCAGACAGTCAGTATACTTTGGGCAAGCTTGGACTGTCAGCTTCACTATGTAAACTTGTTTTAACATGGATTGTGTCTTAACCAGAAGTAAATCCTTTGCAATAAAAGGTATCTGTCCTGATTCAAGGAGCACAGATTTCTGAGCACTTGGTAGTTTTTTAATGGGTCATGGACAGTGTTTTTCCTGGATTCTAGCTTTTCAGTACTTTTTCATTAGAATACTGTGTCCCATGATTGCTACTAAGCTTGATTTTTCAGTATTGTATCGTGAAGCTAGGCAATAACCTAGCAAACAGCAACCACTTATACAGTGTAGTAGCAAAAGCAATTAAAAGTAAGAATGTGGAAGATATGCAGTCTTCAGACCATCCCGAAGGAGGGCATTTCTTGACATTTCTCAGATTAGTGAACAGTGACGGATAGATTGATTAAGCTACAGTAGTTTATAATGGTCTTGTCTGACAGATGCCTACTGTGCTTGGATCCCCAGTAGACAAGGATGCACAGACCTTAGCTCACATTACCTAAACTGTCCCTGAGGTTGGTTTAATAATCTCTCTTATGTCCTGCTTTGCCTCCGTGTGTGCAACCACTTTCCAAAGAAGCAGTCTTCTGAAAGCAGTAATTCCTTACTGTCACTGAAGGACCAGGGATTTGGAACTTGATGTCTTTTTTTCCATCACTCTCACTTCTTGCCTTGACAAATATTTCAAATTAGGGTAATAGAATCATAGAATGGCTTAGGTTGGAAGGGTCCTTAAAGATGATCTAGTTCCTCACCCCTGCCATGGACAGGATTGCCATCCATCAGATCAGGCTGCACAGGGCCCCATCCAACCTGGCCTTGAACACCTCCAGGCATGGGGCATCCACAGCTACTCTGGGCAACCTGTGCCAGTGTCTCACCATTCAGAGTAAAACATTTCTTCCTCATATCTAATCTAAATCTCCCTTCTTGTACTTAAAACCATCCTTCCTTGTCCCATCACTAACTGATGTAAAGTTGGTCTCCCTCCTGTTTATAACCTCCCTTTAAATACTGGAAGGCTGCAGTAAGTCCTTCCCACAACCTTCTCTTCTTGAGGATGAACAAGCCTAAATCCCTCAGCCTTTTTTCATAGGAGAAGGGCTTTAGCACTCTGAGCATCTTTGTGACCCTCCTCTGAACCCACTCCAACAACTCCACTTCCTTTTTTTGCTGGGGGCCCAAGCCTGGGCACAACACTCCAGATGAGGCTTCACAAGGACAGAGTAGAGGGGAAGAATCTCTTCCCTACTGCCACCCCCCTGTTGATGCACCCAGGATACTGTTGGTCTTCTGGGCTGCAAGCACACACTGCTGGCTCATGTCCAGCTTTTTGTCCATCAGAACCCCCAAGTCCTTCTCTGCAGAGCTGTTCTCAAGGAATTCTTCTCCCAGACTGCATACATACCTGGAATTGTTCCAACCCAAGTCCTACACTTTGCACTTGACCTTGTTGAATATGATTAGGTTCTTGTGGGCCAACATTTCAAGCTTGTCCAAGTCCCTTTGGACGGCATCCCTTCCTTCTATTTCTACCATAATAACCAAGTTAAGCAGGTAACACATAATGTAAACTATTTTGAATAAAAATTATTTCCCATTTTGTGTTTTAGCACTATGTAACTCTTTGCAAAATATATTCTCTTGAACTCCTGCGCTCTATAACCTAAACTATTGAATTTCTAAGAAATTTTCTTTATTCAGCACTATATGAATATTAGACAAACACTAATGCATTTAAGGAAGATTAAACTGATGAGGATTTTCAACATCTTTAAATCACACATTTTGGAGCTCACATGGAGTTGCATTTTCCTATTATTTTTTACTTTCAGTTTTAAGCAACAATTATTCCAAGAAAGGTTCCAAATAGACCTATTCAAATTTAGACTAGTTCAACAATGCTGTGTTACAGCATTGATACGAACTATGAAATTACCTGACATCTTTCCTTCTGCTCGTCAGTGCAGCACTTAAATGCCAGAGCAATTTTTGCTTAAAAAATCAGCAATAGGTTATGGAGCAGGACATTTTTGTGACACTGTGTATCAATCCACATCAGATTTTCTATTATTCCCAGCAGTATTTGATTATGCTCTTTTTTTTTCTATTTTCCATTGCAAGAATAAAATTTAGATACATAATTAGGTTGAGTGTTTTGATACCTTCCAGGAACAACCAGTACAGACAGTCATCACCAGCTTTTTGTGGGTCAAGCTGAGAAGTCCCCATTGTGTCTACCACAGAATGCTATTTAATATCTTGATGATTTGCACAAGAAAGTTGAGAAATGCATCCCAGCTCAAGTTAAGATCCAGGAAATGCAAGTTTACCTTGGGACTTACAGATACAACAGTGTGGGAGGTACAGTGGTTGGTGAATCTTCACTGTTCTTCTGGGAAATGGCTGTTGAGGCCATTGGCTTAGTAACTACTAACTACTTGATGTCCAAAAAGGCAGACAGTACCTAACCAGGGCTAGGAATTATATTCCTATATTCCTACTCCATTAGAGATCAGCTGTGGAGTAACTTGCAAATTGTTCTTGCTTCTCCATAGCCATACATTAGTGAGAGCATCCTGACTTACGCCTTTGTGCAACTCATCTGCTGCAGATCTAGACATATACTCAATTTACCTAACGTTTCATAAAGTTCAAGGATAGAGTACCTTGATGGCTTTCTTTCTTTGTCTTCATAATCCTTGCTTCTTGTGCAAAGCATATAAATTACTCCCTTGTGATGGAACAAGAACCAGCTATTATCACTGATTGCAAGCTGTAACAGATCTTTCTGCTACACTATTAGGAGCAATTGAAAGAGGATGACAGGTCCATGATCTGGCTAGAAGCTGTAAAATGCATCGCTTACAGAGACCTAAGAAATATGAGCTGTTACTGACAATTGTCATAATATTTCTTACAACTCTCAATGAAATCCTGCTCACAAAAGCACAGTTTAAGAACCAGTTTTAGCTTACATCTGAGCCTTGCAAATTTCAAATTTACATTATTTCTCCAAGTGTTTTTGACTGAAAACTTTGATATATAGTGACTTTATGCCAACTCAGCTTATGTTCAAAGAGTAAAGAAGTTTTTGGGAAAAAATTTTTATAACTGTACTGCAGTCTGTCCATTGACATCTCTTCCCACAAGAGAGATCATAATCCTGGTGTTTATCCTGGAGGACAGAATGACTCTCATTAGTAGGCTGAATAGTTTTACCATCAGCATTTTTTTTACTAATATTCATAACAAAGCATGGTTGTTGGACTACATGGATAACATTTAATATTGCTTCCAACTCAAACAATTCTATGATTCTATGATTCTATGCCACAATGACATCAAGCTCCAAACTTCACAGAAGGGCTTAAGACAATATAAGGAAAAAGAAATTTAAATGTAGTCTTCCTTTTAGTCCTTCTTATCCATTGCCACTCAGAAGGCGGTGACACATTGGAACAGGTTGCCCAGAGAATTTGCGGATGCCCCATCCCTGGAGGCATTCAAGGCCAGGCTGGATGTAGCTCTGGACAACCTGTCTGGTGGTTGGCAACCCTGCATGTAGTGGGGAGTTGAAACTAGATGATCTTTGAGATCCTTTTCAACCCAGGACATTCTATAATTATCCTGTAGCAAAGGATGTGCCATTGCTTACACTATCTGCTCCGTAGAAATGTTTGTTCCAGAATGGGATGTGGGTGAAAAGCAAAGCCAGACTGATACGTTGGAGCATTTGGATTGAACATTTTAGTACGGGGGACCATGTTCTTTTAGTACATTTCTGGGAACAACTCATTTTGCTTTGGTTTGGGAAGAGCATGCACAAAAAATGAGATACAGTTGTAAACATATGCCTAGATAGTTAGCTGATTAGGAGGTAGGTCTGAGTCCAAATGCTTAATTAGAAGTGAAAAGCTGTTGAAAAAAAGATTTTTATGGAAACCTCTAGGACAAATGTAGAGCCAGAATTTTAATCTCGGTATTTTTCTGGTACTTCTGTTATACAGGGAAGTTTTTATGTCCCATCTGGAAATTGCATGCAACATGCATATAAATGGCATAAGGACCTATGTCTTCTGCTCTTGAATGCTCAAAGAGGACTTCACGTATACTACACCCTCATAATGAAGGAGGTTCCTGATTTACCACAGCTGAAGTTGGGTAAGAGAACAGATATTTTAGATCACTGAACATAATCCACTGCTGTGTTTTCAATACAAGTTTCAGTAGAAAAATTTTTGATATGTTTGTGGATTTTAGAGAATTTTCCCATCTATTTTCTGATTAGTGTTTATTTTGGCACAGTACTGCCAGACTACCACTTTGTCTGTATGTGAATATCCTTTCATCCCTATCTGAAAGGGGGTGGCCTGATGAGTAGAGAGGTAAAAAATTTTCTGATATTTTTCTCAAAATACATGCTTCTGAATGATATTTTGACTCACTTGCTCTAACTTCCAGTTCTGAATCATCATGTGGTCTGGGGAAGACTAGAAATTTTGCTCAAGCATATTTTAAACTGAAAACACAAATTGGGAATAGTTGATATGAACGTTTTGAAACAAATCCCCTCTCTCATACTTTGCAATACATTGATTTTCTGCCAATAGCATAATTACGTCTTGCTCTTTAAAATGATCCTGCTCTTCTTTCTAATTCATTTAATAGATTTTCTAGATTATAGGCAAAACCATTTTTGGCTGATCAGGCTGTTTGGGTCCAACGTGGAAGCACTGGTTGGATTGGTGGGATAGAGTTCTGTAATTTGCATTTGGTCATGTCTGTAATGATAGTGTGAGCTCCTATGAAAACAGGGAGCATCTCTGACTAATTCCTGCTATCCCTACTGTTTCTTTGAATTCAAGGAATGTGTCTCATCTGTTTTTGTGACTTTGTATGTCTGTATACGCAGCTGTCAGATTGCTATATTGCAGGGTTTATTATATTAAGAGTATTGAATGCATTAGTTAACAGATTTTAAAAGGAAAGGAATTTTTTTTTTTTTTTTCACTGTGTAGATATTACAAGCACTTTCAAATATAACACATTATGCTGTACAGACTTATGGGCCTGATAGCTTCTATTTTCCACTTCATGTCTTATTTCCTGATATATATTTCAATTCAAAATAGCTTGCCTGCAACTCGTGGAGTGGGGAGAACACATACTGTGTTATTCCATTCAGCTACAGGAAAAAAATAGTTACAGCATTTTTATTTGCAACTTACGAGCTGTCAAACAAAAAAAATCCAAGATGCAGCAAAACCTGTACTTCAGGCATCTTGGTTATCAGGCACATTTTTAGATGATTTATGTTTTACCTGAAATGAAGAGGAACTGGCAGAGTTATGTTTTGTTGACCACAACTGAAGAACAGACAGATGTGCAGATATGCACATATTGGCTTTTTGAATACAACTGACTTGGTTTTCAAATGACTTCTGGTGCTGAAGCAAGCACTTAATTGGCAAGTGTACTTGTTGTAATACATGCAGATTTGCTAAACGCAAATACCCTTTCTAGCTGCTTGAGCAGAGCACTTATTTGCATCATTTTATTCACAGCCTGAACATCTACTGAAGATTTGATTTTAAAGACAGACTTCTGAGGCCAGTAGCAAAGCCTAGAAAAATCATGGAGTATAAGATTTACCCAGAATGATGAATGTCAAGCTTGTTTTTGTGTGAGACAGTTGCCCAGACTGTTCTTACAGTCACTAGGGAGAAACAGACTCATTTAAGACTGTAAAATATATTATAGACAAATAGTGCTTTCTACCTTAGGATGACATGAACTGCACCTTCTACTTGCTCATTTTTCTCCACTGACCACTAGAATGTAAATGACTCATTCAGTTTTAGGCATCTACATTTGGTGAGATTAATCTCATCATAGGTTTCTAAAGATAGTTAAGATAAATACAAGACTATAAATCTGCTCTGTGGACTTTCTTAATTCTTTTTTTTCTTTTTCCTATCCCTCTGAATAGAATATTAAAATTTAATAGTCTAGTTAAGACATTAAAAATGGAAATTATTGTTTCTCACATTTTGCCAGCTAAAGAAAGATCTCAATCTGTAGTACTATTTGAGAAAAATCACTTGGGATTGGGAAGGGAATTAGTTTTAATTTTTTTTATTATTATTTTTTTATTTTTTTTATGTATGCTATTAGAAAGTTCAACGTCACAAAATCTAGCTACAAGAGTTGGAGAGTTGATATAAATCCTCCCCTTCTTCATAGTTTGTTATGCATTTAATGTGGAGTATCCCTATGTTGGATTCTCTCAGGACTACATCAAAGCAATGCTGCATGTGCTAGGCAAAGTTCTTCACACTTCACAGGGCAATACAGAGATACCTATTACCATTCAGATGTGCAGGACTTATGTTACATGGCCTTGTGTAACATGATATGGAGAACTATTTATTGTACATCATTTGATCAGATGTTCCAGTGGTGAGACAACAACTAAATTGCATTTAGTTGACCAGTTGGCCATAAATCACAGAATGACTGAATGGTTATGTTGGAAGTAACCTCTGGGTCCATCTGTCCAACTTCTGCTCAAGCAGGGATACTCAGAGCAGGGTGGCCAGGACCATGTCCAGGTGGCTTTTGACATTCTCCAAGGAGGAGATTCCCCAGCCTCTGGGCAACCTGTGCCAGGGTTGTGCACGTGCACAGTACAGAAGTTCTTCCTTGTGACTGGGGGAATATCCTGGATTCTGTTTTGTGCCTGCTGCCACTGGGCATCACTGAAAATTTTTTGGCTCTTTGCAGTCTCCCTTCAGATGTTTGTATATACTGACAAATTTCAAAAGCTAGTAAGCAAATTTCTATTAAGAGAGAGAGAATAAAAGCCAAATTCTATCTTTGATGGTGCACGTGAGAAGGAAGGTTCATCGTCTTTAATTAGGTGGGCTCGCATAAATTTCATCATCTCCTTCACCTCCTTCGCTAGACTTGTTTGATTATCCTGATCTTCATCAAGCGTCTCTGATACTGCTACAGGTTTGTCACGGTTAATCAGTTGAGACATTTGCTGCCGCGTTTCATTCAGTTGGTCCGTCACCTTTGAGATAGCGGCTACAGCAGCATGAATGGGGGATAGCAACTGTTGATAGTTTTGGAGCGTAAGAATTAATTCATAAATTAAGGGTGTTCTCTGTTGTTCTTGGTATCTGTCACACGCTGACATTAGTGTAGAGGCATATTTGTCCGGCGCTGTTGTCACGATTTTCTGCCATATCTCAGGCGTTGTCCTCACTTTTTCAGGGTCGCGGTCTTGGCGTGGATGGTTAGGAACAAAGTTAGGGTCATACAACATTTCCACCACACCTATTTCCCTCAAATACTGGATACCCTTTTCAACTGTATCCCATTTTTTCATCGCAATCTTCAAACCGTTTTTGAAGGGATACTTTTCCTTCACGGCTGTTAACACTCGTTCCCAGAGGGAGGCAGCTTCATCCGAACATCGACTAATTCCTCTATCAATAGCTGGATCTCTGGCAATGGCACCTAGCTGGCGAGCTTCATTACCATCCAGAGATAAGCTATGGGCCCCACTGTCCCAACAGCGAACCAACCAGGAAACAAGACTTTCATTCGGGTGCGGTGTAAACTCCTTTCTTGAACCTTGGATTTCAGTCATTTTCAGAGGCCGGCGAGTAGTAATAGAGATTTCCTCTTCATCACTCTCTTCTGCATGTCTCTTAGTTTTCCCTTTTGCCTTTCGCTATGGTGGTGGTTCTGAGGAGGGCCCCTCGCCTGGATCTTCCTCCACCTCCTCCTCCTCCTCTTCTCTTTTTCGTTCAAGACGCGAAGACACTCGTTTCCATTTCTTGCCCTCCACAGGAGCAACTGGTATTGTTACTGGTGTCTCCTGTGATTGATTAGATTTGACTTGGGGATTTTCCCCTTTGGCTTGAACCTCAGCTCGGAAACTCTCTCTCTCCAGAATGGTATTATATAGGGCACGGTAAGCACAAGCCAAACCCCAAATAAGTTGTACCTCCTTAGATTTATGTAAGCCGCATAGTCCCTGACTCAAATACTGGCTTAGTTTCTCAGGATCCCACAGGTGTTCAAGAGTAAAATCCCATGACACTGCGGGTCCCCATGCTTCTAAGACCTTTCCTAAACCTCTCCATATTCCCTGCCAATCATCATTCTCTAGTTTCGGAAGAGACTCCTTTCCCTTAATACGAATGCATAGGAATACATTCAGGAAAATTGATGACACGAACAACAACAACAACATGACTATTAATTCAGGATTCAAAAAACGTTTGACAAACTGAGAAGAAAACCCGGAGACTGGTCTGAACATCGTGTTGTTTGTAAAATTAGCTATTCCATTTGGGATGTAGTTGTTTGTGAAATTAGCCATTCCTTCGGGGATGTAGTTGTTTGTGAAATTAGCCATTCCTTCTGGGATGTAAATGTCAAAATTCAAATCATACCACATTGCAAATAAGTAAAACATAGGTGTCTCCATCAGTGCCCTTAGATAGTTATATACGGATGCAATTCCAAAACACACAAGTGTGAGATGGATTATTGGCCAGTAGGTTGTGACTAACACCATTGCTTTAAATCCTTTACCCAGCACCCCCACGATAACGAGTGGGTTCATCGCTAGTGCTTGCTAAAAAAGGGTTAATGAATTGAAGCTAACAAGAGGAGGAAAAAAAAAAAAGAAAAAAGGCACTACTCAGACTAAGTAATGCTCAAAGTTTACAAATATCCCAGAACACTGGCAGTACGCCTAATCTTTCAAGGTCAGGTTTTCCAGCGCAGAAACCTGAACTACTGATAATGCTCCCTAACGAAGCTCTCTAATAGCAGAGAGAAAAAAAGATTCGTTCTAAAAGCTAAAAAGCATCGAGCCCCACGTTGGGCGCCAAAAATCTGTCACGGAGTTGACCAGATCAATCTATGTTCGTGACAGGGGCGGCAGGCCTCCGCCCTCCCCCCCCACCCCAATCCCACAAAAAATGGGAAGGAAGGAAGGAAGGGAGGAAAAGAACAGCGGCAACAATCTATGGAGGAAAACTTATTTTACTATAGTATTGGAATACAAGATAACACAATATATACAATTTGATTGAAAATGAGATTAATAAATCAGACAAGATGAGAGAGAGAGAGAGAGAGAGTTCCCGGGACCGAGTCAAACCTGAAAAGGTTGGAACGGCTAGGAAAGCACCCTCCAGCACCCACTGCAAGGCAGCAAGAGAGCGCCCCCCCCTACCCGGAAGGGCCAGATCCTGTGACTTCGGTAATGTACAGCGATAGGTACTCGGAATTGGGGCAGTGACACTTCAATGCCCCGTACACTACATGATGTTTTGATGTGGAATACTGAAACCATAAAAAAAAAAAAAAAAAAAAACAAAAACATAGAACCATGACATGTGTCCTGGCAACAACCTTCCAAAATATATACAGGCTTAGTTTTCTAGGTCTCAGAAGCAGAATTTGTACCTGAACCCCTGCAAGTACAAGGTGTATTGTGCATGAACTTGTCCAACTTGAAACTTGTCCACTGACAAAGAATGTCTTATTTATTGTCTTATTTATTGTATGAACAAAAAGTACAGCATTAATGTTTCATATCCACTGTTTCTAAATCTGACCTGTTTCTTTCTCTGTTTTTTGTTGTTGTTGTTGTTGTTTTTTTCTCTAGAGGAACTACCTGTGGAAGATATGTTATCTCAGTTCTGTGCAGAGCTGCAGGTACTGTCTTTAACAGAATCAGTCAGTGCTTTTTTTCAAGTCTATTTTTTAAGTACAGTGAGACAGCACAATCATGTATTGGAGTAGGGAGAAAGGTAATTTGGTGCCAGAAGAAAGTTGCTGGATGTTTGTTTTCCACCAATAATTTCACATAATTTTGATTATTCACTTACATGATGTTTCTGTTACTTTTAACAATTCACCAGCTGGAAGCTTCAGCATCCTTCAGTGAGCTCAGGCAGAATGTCAATAGTATTCACAAAAGTTGATTTGGGGTAGATTGCAATTACAACTTTTGTGCTGACAGGAGAGAATACCCGTTGGCAGATTGTGCAGCCACATTTTTTCAAATAAAAACACCTAAATGTCTAAGGAAGCTTGTGGGAAGAAAAAAGTGATTTTGACACAGCAGTAACTGAATTACTGTCTTGAACTTCTGCAGTTTTGATTTCAAGTGAGACATACGCAGTCATCAAGGGAGCCAGAAAGAAATGCAAATGTCAGTTGATCACTGGACACAATGTTTTATAATCAGAGATTTAATACTTTTGATTTGCTCAGTTTATTAGCAGGAAGACGGCATAGGAAAGAATGACAAAATAACAATTAATGGAGCTGAAACAAAATCAAACTGCATTTGTATTTACACTGCAGTTACAAGCGGTGAGACAGTGTTTTTTAGCCATATGTAAAAAAAAGGACTGAAATAGCAAATTTCTTAATTTCAAATCAGAAATTGGATTATTAGAAATAAATTTGATTTCATCTAAATTTAGAGAAGTGTAAGTTATGGGTCTCTGCTCAACTGGATTGCAGAAATTTAGAAGCCTTTAGGGTATTGGAGGTCAGACAACATAATCTAGAGTCTCCTTGAGACCAGTAGGTTCAAGAAAGTTCATATTAACTTGGCATATATCAGAAAATGTCATGTCTAATTTCTCTGTATTTTCAAATTCCTGTCCAATTCTTGTTCTTGTGTTGACTGGCTTTGCATGGCCATATTTATAAAGCCAGACAGGTTTTTTTTTTTTTGAAATTTCTGGGAACAGAGTAATAACAGATAGGAGAACACAATAGCTAAAACAGCTATATATCTAGAGTGATATAAGAACTTTATTATGGTTTTCATGTATACCATTAAAAATGTTGGCATTAGCATCCCAAAATCACAGCCTTTGATGATTAATGACTGAATTTTAAGAGAATAAGACACAAATGATGAAGCATTGTACAATTGTACATTGTACGTTGTTGGGACACAATAGCACTGACCATCTCTGCAATTAAGTGTAGAAGTCATGTGAACCTCCATACAGTTTTCAGAAGAGTATTGGCCAAGCTTTCTGAGTATTTTGCCTTTAGGAAAATGTGAACTGAAACCATTTCTCTTCAGCAGAAAGTACGAAGGACAGTCATTTATAAAGAAAGAAAATGCTATTAAAACTATAAAGAAGGAAGCCCGTGGGGTTAGTTTCCCATTACCACCGTGTTACCAGGGTCTGGTCCATTTTTTAAATTAAATAAAAACAAAAGAAGAGGAGAAGGTGAATTTTGCCCTGTTTTGTATTTAATCCAAGGACATGGTAGCTATTCAAAACAGGAAAAAATAGAAGGCTCATGTTTTTTTAATTTTGAAAATGATTTTTAAATAGTCAAACATAATAATTTATCCAAAATATTTTCTAAATTTGTTTTGACTAACAGTATTGTTAAAGCCAGACTACACACCACAAAATACACGAACAGAATAGCCAGAGTTGTATTTACTGACCATTTTAACCCATGGGCAATGAGGAATGAAGTCCTTGAGAATTGACCTGCATTGCTAGGATTGCTAGGCTACTGCCCAGCTAGGCAGCTAAACTCTCAGAATGAAAGTACATTGTGCCTCCCTCCCTCCCTTCCTCCCTTCCTTCCTCCCTTCCTCCCTTCCTTCTTTCATTCCTTCCTTCCTTCCTTCGTCTTTGATTTATTATTTCAGCACCATCTGGTGGTTAGTTTGGAATCTGCTTCTTTTTTTTTTTTTTTTTTTTTTGCTTTCTCTTTGTTTTTTTTTTCCTTTTTTTTTTTTTTTTTTTTTTTCCTTTTTTTTTTTTTTTTCTTTCTCTCTTTACTACATCTACAGTAAAGTTTCTGTAAAGATTGAGGCTATTCCCACCTCACATAATCAAGGAATGGAGGTGTTTTGAAGGTCTCTCTGGATCCATCTGATCCAACTCCTGCTCATGCACAGACACTCAGAGCAGGGTGGCCAGGACCTTGTCCTGGTATCTTTTGAAGTTCTCCAAGGAGAAGGCTTTATGGACAATTTGTAGTAGTGCTCCATCACCCACACAGTACAGAAGTGCTTCCTGATGGTCAGAGGGAACCTCCTGTGTTCCAGTTTGTCTCCAGTACCTCCTGTTCTGGTATTGGGCATCACTGACAAAAGCACCACTCTGTCCTTTCTGCACTCCCCATTCAGATATTAAAGGACACTGATGAGGTCCTGAGAGCCTCCTCTTCTGCAAGCTGAACTGTAGCATCTCTCTTAGCCCTTCCCCAAAGGAGAGACGCTCCAATCCCATGATTATCTTTATATTCTTTCTCTCCAGTTGTATAACTAGGGTGTGGGATTTTTTGTTTGTTTTCAGAGAGCAAAAGTTTCACTTACAGGATTTTGGGTAAAATAGCGCTTTAGTAATAATTTTAAGTCAGGAGAACGTTGTTGTTGTTGTTTCTAAAAGGACATCATCTAACATGCTAATTGATTTTCTATCCTGCCACTGTCTTGTTCTCAAAAAGCCCTTTCTTCCCTGCAGCTGTTGAGCAATCCGGAGAAGATAGCAGAGCAGATAAGCAAGGACCTCTCCTGGCTTTGCTCCCACCTTCTGGCCCTGTGGACCCAGTTCCTGGAGGTGGCAACACTTCACCCAGAAGTCACAGCTTATCTGACTCAAGAACATCATATGCTAAGGGTAATGTTAGGAAGTTAAAAGCAAGTTCTGTAATGTTAACCTCCTGAATGATATTAATGGTGTATATGGATGGATATTTCTCTTACTCTTATGCCTTTATGAATATTTAAGGGAGATGAATTGAGTAAGACAAAGACAAGAAAAGAGGATTTAAATATAGATTTCAATTTTTGGAATATCGGAAAAATGTTGCTACTATGGTACCCATAATGTTGTACTAAATGAGTGTACTCTGGACACCAGAATCCAGCAGGAAACATGAGGTGGGTGGAAAGAGAGGTAGAGATACCCCATATTGGTTACTTACGCAGCAATCATAAACATGTTTTAAAAGGCACAAGCACCACAATGACAAATAATCAAAAGATGGGTTTCTTTCAGCTTCTTTCTCAAAGCACAGAATTACACCAAAGGAACACTCTCTTCACTAAGTCACATATAGACAACTAGTTACTGCCTTTCTCCTAGTGAGTTTCACAGCATGAAATATTAATACTCTTCATGTGGAAATTGTTTTTTTTTTTTTTTTTTTGGTAATAAAGAAGGCACAAAAATGATTGCCTTTTGAACTGACTTTGTCAGATTTGCCTATCTGATTAGTGAGCAAGTGCTGTGCCTTCCATGAGGACTTTTTGGTTATTGAATGTACATCACTTTCATCACTTTTCATTTACATCACTTCAGCTGAGCTGAGCTCCTGGGCTGATCTAATCATTAGATTAGGAGCATATAGAAAATGATAGGATTCATCTTGCTTTGCTTCAGATGTCTAGAGTGTAGGTGTTAGCATTCCAGCTTCCATTCCGGTAGTTGTTCAAGTTATCATTGGAGGTCTGGTCAATGGAGTTGAGAGAATGTGAATGACTGCAAAAGGTAGACATAAAATTCAGGAAGATGTGAACAACGTTGAGACTCCCCTCATTATTTTGGCTCAGTCTCCCTTTATTTTGAGAGGTCCAGGATGGCCTCATCAGCCAAAGAACATAACTTGACCCCCAGCTCCAGCAAGGTGAATTTCAGTATCAATGGATGCCTGCTGCTGGCATGACCTGTGACAAATTATGTATCCTCACATACTTCAATTTCTCTCCATGAAAGCTGTGCAATAGTACTTTCCCAGTTATGTAAAGCAGTTTGAGAGCTCCAGATAAAAAAAGTGCAGTATTTTAAAGGGTGTTAGTCCTTCTTTTATTAGAAAAGCCATTTGTTGACATATGGCTGGGATTTATTGATGTGCTGAGATCCTATCATGTGGTTTTCACTGCCATTCTCTGACACTATAATAGAGATGGCTCTTACAGATTTTCATAGTAATGTATAGGCTGCAGCTCAACAGTTCATTACTATGGCACATTATGATGGATTGACTGAAACTGAACACTTATTCCATATCAGACAGCAACACTGAATTTTTTATAGCTTATTTTGCACTCGTCCTCTGCCAGATCTTCAAATCTGTGACTACTTTTTTAATTGATTATCCAATCTACTGTCCTTGAGGAGATCTGAAGAGCTCCAATTTGTATGTATAGTGAAGCAGGCTGATATGTTTCTGCCATGGTAGGGCTTATTCTCTTCTGGGCTGATGTGTAAAACTTCCTTTAGTATCCTGGGAATTGTGACTGATCCCATAGAAAAGATTTGTTCTAATTTATTAACTCACTCCACTGCAGCTATGATTTGTACAGTGGGAAAGGAAGAAGTTTTCCTCATTTTAATATTACAGAGAAAAATGTTAAATTTGACACTTTAAGGAAAGTAGTGAGAAGACACACAAAAGAAAATATCAGTTTACTATCAAGGGACAGTTCTTCCAGCAAAATATGCAACAACACTAACAGCTTTGTAGTAGAATGGAAAAGTAAAGCAGAGTTGAGCTCTTTATTTTCTTTCTGACACCAGAGCAGTGCAAAGCAAATGAAATATTAAGGAATCTAGTCCTGACAGTCTTTGCTCTGCTTTTAGCTTAATTGCACCTGGCACCTTTCACCAGATCTTAGGTTTAACTTCCATGTTTCTTCCCCAGGTAAGGAGATTCTCAGAAGCCTTCTTCTACACTGAACACAATAAACTTGCTGTGCTGACATTCCAGGAAGGCCTGTGAGTAACTGATTGAATCTCTCCTGCCACTGATATAGCTGAAAATATAGTTGCTTAATATATTTTTCTACAAAGAATGAGAGCTTTTCTGCTGTTTATGGGTGGGGCTGTTTTGAGAGAAGTCACCAGGTCTATTCTAGCTCCGTATAGTAAACCCATTGAAAGCAACGTCCAAAGTAAGATGATGCTTCAGAGATGACTATTTCTGAAACTCTTATGATTCATATAAGAGAGTTCTTTTTCTTACTCCCCCTCTCACATTACTTTCAGATTCAGGGAATGACTAAAACACTGTAGCAAGAGCATTCTACTGATAGGATGTAGGAGATCCTCTTTCCCTTGTCATTTCCCAGTTGGATGCATGTATCTTAGAGCTTATCTACAACACCACCACCAATATCAGGGCAGACAAAAACATCTTTTATGTCTTTGTTCAATTAAATTCATAAACTTCCTCTACCAGATTTAATAATGGAAATCTTAATAGAAGGTAACTGTTGGAAAATAACAAGAAAATAACATTTTTGAGTTTGTTTTCCACTCTTCCTTGTAGTATATTTGGGTGTAGGCATTCATGAATTTATTCAGATACTTTGTCTATCCCTACTTTCCATAGCAGTGAAGGTCTATAACTGTAGAATCTTGATTTATTATATGGTCAGTGCAAAGATGCATTCACTGGATCCAGCACCAAATGAGGACAACCACCACAGCAGCTAGAGGAAGTGAAAGATTGATGTGAGCTCAGGGTTGATAATTAATCGATTAAGAATCATAGAATCATATAATGATTAAGGTTGGAAAAAACCTCATCTAGTCCAACCAAGAATCAACAGTGCAAAACAATCTGGGAAAATAAACGTTGCACTGGGCTGCATTTGCAAGCATATGCTATGAAACATGAACAAGATAATTACTTCCTTCTGCTTGACACCTCTTACTGCCTATAAAGCCATATGCACAGCATGGGTAATGCTCATGACTCAAACTCTGAAGGCAGAGTTCAAGGAAAGCTCTGCAGATTTGAATTTTAAAACAATGAGGGATGTCCAGATGATATCTGCTTGAACACAGGAGGACTATAGCATTACTGAAACAGAAACCTTTCAGAAGTGGCTAAAAGGCCATGATGGCCAATCCTGTCATGATGATAGGGCTAAAGTGAGACATTTGTTTCCAACCAAGAGCAAAGTAGAACATGACTTTCTCAGAGCTATCACTGGAAACATTAAGACCTATTTGGTACTGGAGGAAAGCTGTGTGGCTTCATCAGTGAACTGGTTATACCAGGCTACCTTGTTCTGCCAAATTAGAGCAGAGTCATGGCTGCAAGGGCCCAACTATGATCACTTAGTCCTCATTAAGTCATGTTTTAAGTGAGATGTGTACAAGAAAAGCCCCATGTCAGGACCCTGTTGTTAGGGCAAATATCATTCATGGCCTTATCTAAGCAAACACAACTCTGCACAGGGGGAAGCCTAATTGCGTGAAGTGCTTTTATTTCTCCAAACAACCATAGAGCTAACCCTTTCCTGTAGATAAGCATAATTTTTCCTCAGTGACTATCGAGGTGAGAGAGTACAAAAAATAAAATAATTTAGCAAATGCTAAATATTGGTCAATTGCAGTAAATTTCATTAATTGGTCTATACAGGCTTCATGTCAGAATCCTGTTTTCTTTTTGGTTGGGCTATGTGGTGCAATTAGCAAAGCAGAATAATTCTCTGGTAGAAAGGCTGCCAGAGTATTATTACTGGGAGTGCCAGCAGGGGTTTTTATTGGGTTCAGAGAGGTTCCATATGAAGTCAACTCTCAGTGTGCCAGATACTATACAAACACTTCAAATATTGGTATTGGTAATAGGTGAACGGTTGGACTGGATGATCTTTAGGTCTTTTCCAACCTTGGTGATTCTGTGATTCTATGACATATGAACATAGTTTTTCCCCAATTCTGTCTTTCTTGTGGCCAGAAAAAAATTGTTTTTGCCTCCCATAATGTTGTTGTAAGTCCCTTGAATCACAGAATCGTATAATTATTTGAACTGGAAGAGATTTTTAGAGACCATCTGATCCAAATTTCCTGCAATAGACAGGGACATCTACAGATACATCAGGTTTCTCAGAGCCCTGTCCAGCCTGACCTGTGTTAGGCCATGCCTACATGCAGGGCAGTATTTTACTACTCAAGTACAACAAGAAATACTGTTTCAAATGGACTGGGTAACACACAAGATGGCAGGTGGCACAGTCTCCCAATACTTCACAGAGAAAATTATTGGTATTAATGGTATTAATTCATTTTTCTTGTGCCAGAAACTGGTCTCAGAGAACATTTATAATTTTTACATATTGCCTTTAGTATAAATGCTGGTGCTATTTATTAGTGTCAATAAGAACTTAATTATGGCGCAAAGTTTCAATTCCAAATACCCAGATATTAATGCAAACAGGAATAAGCATTTAGATGTTTGTGACTTTTCCCTGAGTCATGTTTTAGCAACCAGTGACTCGCTTATCTCTGACGAAAAAATATCTGGTAAGAGCAATGATGGTCAACACCAATTGTGTTCTAAAGAAGCCCATATGATGGCTTGCACAATTTTTTTTTTTGTCTGGTTGTAGGAATTTTCCATGCTGGCATGAGGGCAGATCAACTGAATTACAAATCTTTTATCTGAGTAATTCTTCATATAAAGAATGTTTCTTCTAGTTAACTAGCACATGATGATTACCTAGCTCCTACCATTGATAATCTGAAAAATTGCCAAAATGCAATCCTGACTCCATTCTTTGCCAGGCCCACACCCCTCAGGATCACAAACTCAGCCAAGGCATGGTTGCTCAAGCTCAAGCTGCCTCCAGTCTTAATGCCTTTAACTATACCCTCTGCATTTGTGAGCACCAGATCCAGTAACACTTCACCTGTGGTTGGTCAGTCTGTCCAATATCCAATCCAGAAAGTTATCATCAATGAACTCCAGGAGTCTCTTGGATGGCTTGCAGCTCACTGTGTTGTTTTCTCAGTACATATCTGAGTGGTTGTAATTCTCCATCAGGACAAAAGCCTGTGAGAACAGCACTTCTTGCAGCTGAAGCAAGAAGAACTTGACAACAGGCTCCCCTTGGTCAGTTTGCCTGTAGCAGACCCTGACCACCAGCTGTCCTTTATTGGTCTCATCCCTAATCTTAACCCCCATGCTCTCAACCTGTTCCTGGCTGTTTCTCAGAGGGATCTCCTTGCAGTCCATCTAATTCTTGATTTGGAAGGCAACCCCTCAACTTTTCCTACCTTGCCTGTCCATTCTAAAAAGCTTATAGTCCACAATGATATCAATTGAAAAGCACTATTACTAACTGCCTTTGCTGCCTGGCTTGCAGGAGTGACTGATAAACAGCACGTTAACCATTCAAACACTCAATTTCTTTTGCATTTTGCTGCCAGGATCCAAAGTCATGCGCAGATTTCTACAGAAATTCGTAATTCAGAGTACTTTACCAGCATGCCCCCGCTGCCAGCAGAATGCCTAGACATCGATGGGGACTGGAACACACTTCCTGTTATTTTTGAAGATAGGTACATGGATTTGCCTTGCAAAGGTGAGTGAAACACCCTGAGAACAGCCTCATGAGACAGCTGGACTGGAGAAGTTGACTTTCCTAGCCCAAGGTATTTGATGTCACCTATCTTGAACTGGCTCTTCCTAGGATGAGAGCATAATCCTCTACAAAATAGAGCTGAAGTCATATTATTATTTTTTTTAATATTGGACTTTAGATTATTTACTGTAACTTCACACTTTTTTTCATTTAACAGAATGTTTAGTTGAAAGGGCTGGAAGCAAAATACAGAAAGAAAAAAAATTGGATTTTTGTTACGGTAACAAACAGCGCAACAAATTTCATACCCAGAGTGACATCTAGTGTTAAGAAAAGTCAGAACTAAAAGCCTTACAATTTCTATGAAGACCAACACTGTCCCCAAAAGGCAGTATTGCTTTTCTTAAAAATAATTTCCCCTGGAGTGCCTAGGTGATTTTTTATTAAGATTTTTCATTAAGAAAATATTTAGTTCTGCAACGCTGAAGTACAACCTTTTAGTCTTTGCTTCCTTTTTCTTTTTAAGCAACTATTAAGATTAGCAGAGAGGTAATACATATTAATGCCATAAGTGACCATGGTCCAGTAAATATGGCTTGTTATTCAGAATTTCCACTCTTCCAGAGCTATCAAATTACCTCAAAAAATTGAGGTAATTTTGACAGTCATAATTACTAATGTTTAAGCCATTAAACTGTGTAATAAGCTAATTCACAAGCAAGATCAACACTACATATAATGTGGTACAACAGGAGGAACGTGAAGTGCCAGTTCTGGTTGGTTTATCAGTGCTAGAAACTAGCAGTTTAGATATTATCAATAAAATATAGTTCCCTCTGTACAATTCTGTATTTTTGGCCTAATTTTAACTTGTTTACTGATTATAATACCAGTTAAATGAACTCTGGCATTTGCATTTGTAATATATTTCTAATGTAGAGATAATTTATATAGTATAATTATACATACTTTTCTAGGCCTTATAATCACTGTTCCAAGTCCCATATCATACTGGGGTAGTATACTGTGCTGAGTGGAAGTTGCAGATACAAATTCTTTTTTTTTCTTTCTTTCAGACCAGAATTTGGATACTTTCCCAGATTTTGAGGCTCTTGCCAATACTCAAATTGATACAATACACGAGAAGGAAAATCTTGCATCAAATGATGACACTGTAGAAATGAAAGGAGACTTTGGGAAAGGTACTTTGCTAATACACACAGACAGGATAAATGGGAATCCTTGCTTGTATAGTGATTCCAAAGGTGCTGCTTTCGCAGCCAAGGGTATAAACCAGCACTCCACATCTCAGGTATGTACAGCAAACAAAGAAGGCCAAAGGATACCTGAAAACATTTATGTTTCAAGTAAGGAAACTACTTCTGTCTCAGAGCTAAGCAATACAGAATGCATATCAGAGGAGTCTAAAACATGCAAGGAAGTTTTATTAAAAGACAATAGGCATTCAGTGGCTATTACCACTGAAGAGAAGAAATCTAGCAATAAGGGTGCCCATAAAAGTGAGCCCGTGTTGATTGTCAGTGCTCAGATTGAGTGCGGAGCGTGTGGAACTGATGGCTTGGAAGGCAGGACTGAAATACATAAAATGGCTGAATCTGGTCATCCTGAGAATAATTTCAGTTCTGAGCTTGCATTGAGTGAATTCATCAGGCTTGAAAGAACACCAGATGCAGATAGCAAGCCTCTGCAGCCTGTTTTGAAAGCTTTGCCCTCTCACAGCTTGGAGGTGAAGTTGTTCACGAAGGAGCAACGAACTGAAGAGTGTGAAGAATTTACCCTGATGTCAGGGGTCATAAAGAGATCCTCCTCTATTATATCAGATTCGGGCATCGAAAGTGAACCAAGTTCAGTGGCGTGGTCCGATGCTCGGAGCCGGGCTCTGGAACTGCCCAGTGATCGAGAGATCCTGCACCACTTGGTACGGAGACATGCCATCCACCGGAATTCCCTGGAGGGTGGGCACACAGAAAGCAATACCAGCCTGCCCAGCGGGATACAAGCATCTCTCACATCCATTAGTTCTTTGCCCTTTGAGGAAGAAGAGAGAGAAGTGGAGCTTACCAAACTGACTAAATCTGTCTCAGCTCCTCAGATCAGTAGCCCAGAGGAGCCTTTGGAGGAGGTGGACATATCTAAACACATTGAAGCAACCTCACGAGACTCAGGAGGATATTTAAAAAGCTGCAGGGAAACAGAGAATGGAGATGGTCAACTAATGATGGATTTTTCTGTGTGTCAGCTCACCACTGAAAGTGGGCAACCAGAACTAAGAGGACCTCCCAAACTCTCTGCCAAAAACAGTAATGACAACCTAGAACTACAAAAGGAGGAGGCAAAGGAAGATTTCTCAGAGACTTACTGTAGTTTGGAATGTGCAAAACCACCTGCATGTAATCCTCTCAGAGATAATGACTCTGAATGTCAATCACTGGAAAACAATGATGAGTGCAGCTTAAAAACACCAAGGGCTAATAATTACTTGGACAAAAGTATAGGCAAGTTTGATAAGTACATTACAGATCCAAAGGATACATCTAAGCCGGACAGCTTAAAAATAGAACAAGACTTGTATATCAATGTGAGAAAAACAGGAGAGGACAGTTTCTCACAAAGCATAAAGCTGGTACCACATATTTGTAATCCTGTTTCAGGTCCTTCAGAGACTTCAACAGAATTTGGCTCAATGCAAGGAGAATGCAATAGCTTTCTTGCTGATGAGAGCCTGCTGGTGTATGCAGAAATGCAGGGGTTACAGGAAATTGAGCTCAACGACTCACCTGCCTCAGCAGATCCTGCTGCAGAATCCTGCCAGGACAAATATCCTCAGGAACTTGACAACCAAGGGCAGAAACTTGTAGCTAATGGCACTGGGTTTCACTCGGTTACAATGGATGGGGTAGCACTGGAAAGCAGAAAGACTGTTGATGTAGTTAACCTCTCTGTCTCTTGCACGGCCACATGTCTTCCCTTTTCTTCTGTGCTCAAAGAGACCCCTGCGATGGTTGGCTTCTCTGCAAAGCAGGCTGCATTTCCCATCACACGTCAGCCTCTGGGCTCTTTTGGAGTTGTTTCTTCCCATTCAAATGAGGTGGATGAAGAAGCCAATGAAAGGATGCTGAAGTAAGAATGTCTGATTAATTAATCAATGTTGCTGTCATGTCATGACACCTTGAAAAAGTTCAGGGCCCTAATATGGAAATGGGTTGTGGCGAGGGGAATATCAGCCTTTTCTATCAGGAAACAGCAATAGGACATGAGGTAATGGCCTCAATTTGTGCCAGGGGATGTTCAGGTCAGATATTGGGAAGAATTTCTTCTCAGAAAGAGTGGTGAGGTATTGGAACAGGTTGCCCAGGGAGATGGTAGAGTCACTTTCCCTGGATGTATTTAAAGAAAAGATTGATGTAATAGTTACGGACATGGTTTAGCGGGCAATATTGGTAGTACGTGACCAGTTGGACTAGAGATCTTAAAGGTCTTTTCCAACCTTAATGATTCTGTGATAATGAAAACTTGTATTCAGAGACAGTTGCTACCTGAGAAATTACAGTCTAAGTAATCCAAATAGACATATGATTTATACATAATAAATAGTCTAAGCAGACAGGAGACACAGAAACACAGAGATACCCAAGATCTTCAGAGAATTTAGGTCCTTAAACCTCATGGAAATGAGTGAGATTTGGGTGTGCATATAGTCTTTAAGATTTTGCCCATCATTATGAAGTCATGGTTACCCAGACATGAGTATTGATCCTATATAATTGTAGTGCCATAGCTTGTTTTTCTTTTCTGCTTAATTTTAACGATTAACTAAGCAATGAAAGGGGATCACAGCTGGGTTGTAGGGCATTAGCTTCAGTTTCTGAAACTAGAAAATGGGAGAATGGACATTCAGGGTACCTGGAGAACAGACTCTTTTTTCCCCCTGCTCTCTCTTAGCCTATTATCTTCTCTACATCCTGATTTCTCCCAATCAGAATAGAACCTTGTCATTTCTAGTTTGAGAGTTGGCTGTTGAATACCCAGTTCTACTGTGATTAATTAATGTATTCTCCAGTTTTTATCAGGCCAAAGAAAAATTTAAAAAAGAAATGAAGATTGAAGGATTTCTGTACAGTGACTTATCTGTACTAGCTTCTGATATCCCATATTTTCCACCAGAGGAAGAGGAAGAAAATTTGGAAGATGGAATTCACCTGGTTGTCTGTGTCCATGGATTGGATGGTAAGACCTGCTGTGTGCAAGAGTCATTCTGGTGTAAGCAACAGTGAAAAATGCAGATCTACAGGAAGTGTGAAAGAACAGAGTCTAACGAAAACATTTATCATAGAGTTTAGTTTTTACGTTATTATAATAAAGAAATTCTAGGAGAATATTAAATATTTAACAAATGAGTACTGCAGCATATTTTTGTCTGTTTAGGCAGAATTCTGCACCAAATTACGTCAGTCCTTCAGTGTACAGTATATTACAGGAACTCTTCATGTCTTTTTGGAGATATCTGGTTGTTTAGCCAGTTGTTTATCTGGTTGTTTATGCCACCAGGATGAAAACATTATTTAACAAAGTATACCAATGTTGTAGGAAAGATTTTTGCTGGCTTTAGAATGTTGAAGAATAATCCATATTCACTGCAGTGGAAGGCTGACCTGGAATATTTTGAATGGATACTTTTTAAGCTGAAAATGGATATGTTAAAGTTGATACTTTTCTTAAAGTTATTGGTTTCAGTGGGCTAGGTGAAGGTGTTAATCTTGAGACTACAAAGAAGGAGGGACCGAGCCTCAGAAGTGTGAAATTCTTCCTGTCTTATTCAGGCATTGTTTGCCATTTAGTATCCCAATGGCAGTAATGTGTTTCTCATAAAAGTCCATACTTTTCCAGCAAAATAGCAGAATACCCCTAGTCTAGTATGAAATTGGAGCATTTTGGTCATCTTCCAAAATGTTATAAGACCGCATTTCAGAACCAGGTCTAATTGCAAGTATAGAGAGGCAGGCTATTCTGCATGTTATTATCCATCCTTATACCCAAACCACAGGTGCAAATGACCCCTGAAGGTCTATAGTGCACCTGGTATTATCACTTGGTGCAAACTGGAAGGGACAAATATCTGCCTTTTCATGACCCTTTGTCTTATCTACCCAGTCAGAAAATAGGGGACTAAGTTATTCTGAGCTCAATCTTTGCCCTGTCCTCCATACTGTGCAGCTCATGTAATGCCCAAAAGCAGAAGGTGAGGTCCAGCCTTCCTTGCACAGATGTCAACATTCTTTCTCTCCCATTGTTTCAATGCATGATCCTATGGTGTGGTAAGCTGTCATGGCAGCACTTAGCAAGAGCTTCCTGGTGCAAAGGTGTATTAGAAGACAAACGCATTGAATCAAGTCTCAATTATTTTTTTTCTGTCAAATTACATCTTATAAAGTGTCATTCATTTCTAGGTAACAGTGCAGATCTACGGCTGGTAAAGACTTTTATAGAACTGGGACTCCCTAGTGGAAAACTGGACTTCCTAATGTCTGAAAGAAATCAGGTAGTACAGAGCTAAATTTTGTCTTCCATTAGATCTCCTACAAGCTGTTGGTGTTGCTTCAGGAAGGCTTTCACAAGCTGGATTAAGCAGTAGAACTGGGGAATTCAATGAGTTTTAGTAGGATTGAGCTCAAATACCTGTTCTTGTGTAAAATGGTTAGATTGAACCCATTCAGAAATATCTAGAGCATTGAGGTCAAAAGCAATTAGGTTATTACTTAAAAGACTAGAACTTACACAAAGAAAATTGATTTGTCTTGTGAGTTTGAAACCTTTCAACCTCTGCCTGTTGGATGCTGAGTGACACAACACCAACAGAAAGCAGCATGTTTAATGATGTTAAATTCTCTGTAGGATGTAAAATATATCCAGAAGGTGTTGTCCGCTTCTTTTGGTGCATCAACCATTATTTCACCTGTTAGAATTTTTGTGAGATTTATATTCTTAAATGATAAAGAAATGTCTTTCAGGAAAATTCACTGCCAGTCCAAGCAGAGCAACAAAAATGAATTCAACACTCTGCTTTGCAGTGAACTCATATTTATGAAACAGAGGCCTACACTTATTCATAAGATAAGGATTTCCAGTGCTGAATCAGAAACATTATTATGATTTAAGATCAGTTCATAATCTTGAGTCAAAACTTTCCACCCTTTACTCAATAGCTTTTATACTTACAAGTGAGTAGTTGGTGTTGGTCTATGAATTTGCCACCTTCAATGAACATCTCACTAGCTCTTACAGAACCTCTACTTACCATTATCCTGAGGTCATAATTGGAACTTTCAATCCTATAGTGTGGAAAGATGAGAAAGTTCCTATAGCACTGGAAATAGAATGGGTTTTGGCTTCTTTTTTTTTTTTTTTTTAATTTAAATTATAATTGATTCTTTAAAGTATCCAGTCACCTTTTTTCCCTTCTCTGGGGACCATTCTGAAAATGATCCACAAAACCAAATGTTTAGCTGAATTTTCCTTAAGAGAGGAGAAGGCAAGCCACCTTTTTTAGGCAGTCCTCTAATTGACAAGCTCAGTCAGGCTGAGATACTGAAGATACTGAAGGACAGATATATAACCTGGTGAAATATGACTTTTGATGTGTTTTAGTTGTGATTAATGTCCAAGCTGGTATTTTTCCACTTTTAAACAACCTGAAAGATTTGGGATGATGAGCCTGAGAAGAAATCATTAATTAACAATGCAGACTAAACAAACAGGCAGGAGGTTAGTGGACTGTTTGTAGTTTATGTAAACTTTTATTTTAATGCAGTATTGCAAAGTGAATATGCTTATGTTTTCTTTTGCCAGAGCTGCAATTAGCAAGATGGGTTGTGTCACAAAAGCATTAATTACTAGATATGTTTGCTCTGAATAGCTGTTCCAATATTTGATGATTGTTTCTGTGGCAACTTGTTAGTTATTTGATTTAGAGTCCTGTTGATTTGCCAGATGACACAGTTCTGAATAAGATTTGCCTGTAAATGTGTAGATCAAACAATATACTGTTGTTTGTTTTTTTTTTTTTTGTATCACAATTGCCACTATTGTTGGCATCAACAAATTGTCTCTCTCTCTGGCACTCATTCTCTTACTGATATTGTTGAATAACAAACACACAACATTCACACAACATTTATTAAATGACATAATAATTTTGTGATCACATCCTTATCACCCATATCAGCCATGTATGTGTAACGCATGTAGATTGCTCTGAAAGTAATGCTTCCTATTTATTTTCATGGAAACTATAACAGATACAAAGAACACGATTATGCTATTTGATAGACCAAATTCTCAGGTACAAAACAGTATTTTTCTTTACAATCACCAGCATAGCTATGCATTTTCACCAGCGATGAACAGAAGCCTGCATACTGTGCCTACAAAAATGTGCAACAGCAGAGGTGACCTGCTGTCACCACTTCTGAAACATGGCACCCACAGACTCACTGTGTTCACATCCACTGTTTATTCTCCATAAACAATCAGTAAGCATCCATGAATATCAGTGGGTGCCATTTTTTCCACATGAAGGAAATCAGTGCTTCATAGACACTTACTTCCACGTCAGGCCCCATTTTATCAGACTGCCTCTCTGCTGCCATTTGTCACAGCAATAAAATGTAGCAGAACATTGGCTGGAAGGTTCAACCTCTACTACCGTATCACCAACATCTGCCTCTGATACTGTGGGCCAACATAATAAGATAGGAAGCATTAATTTCAGAACCAAACTTCTATATTATGTAAATTATTTTATCATAGTAATCTGTTCAATTCTAAATATCAAAAGCTTTTATTTTGTTGTGTAGAATATCGCTCAGAGGCTGAGAATTAGCAATTCCCACCACTATTAAGTGAGGCCATTTCAAGCCTTAATTATGAATCAGAAATCACAGAATCACCTAATTGTAGGGTTTGGAAGAGACCTCTAGAGATCATCGAGTCCAAGCCTCCTGCAAAGCAGGTCCCCTACAGCAGGCTGCACAGGTAGACATTCAGGCGGGTTATGAATATTTCCAGAGAAGGAGAAATCACTCAGCCTGATATTGTTAGACTTACTGTTAATAAATTATAGGCCCAGGTTAATATTATCATGCCTAAGGTAGAGGCAATGTCATTGGAGAAAACAGAAGCAACCACAGTGATTTTAACACCTTAAAATACTGTCTTCTACAGTGTCAGGAAAAGTACAGGAAGTGTAGGATTGATCTTGTTTGAAATTTAATACTCATGTTATGTGTCTGAAGCTAGGAACACAATATAGGGTCAATTAAACTCTGACAAAAGATTTTGCCTTACCTCACCTGAGAGCTCAGTGAAGACAGTGAATTTCCACATGGACTGTACAAACAGCCATGTGATCGATAGTAACCAGTTGTTCCTGATGATGTGAAAAATACTTGAGTAAGTTTGCAATGTCGCCTGGAATATTTTTGTAATAAACTGAAAGTGAAATTTCACGATTGTTTTCAAAGAGCTTAAATTTTTAGAAGGTCAGGAGAATGAGAAAAATTCTGACCCCACTGAGCATTCACATAGAAAATTTAGAATAGTTATTACTTTTGTGCTTATGATTTATTTTGAAAATGACAATAGCCTGGGATATACGTACACTGCAATAGTTTTTGATTCACTTTCTCAAACCTTTTTTCACCAGACTGATACTTTTGCTGATTTTGATACAATGACCGACCGATTGTTGGATGAAATTATTCAGCATATTCAGTTGTATAACCTCTCCATATCCCGGATAAGGTAAGCATTCTTACTGAATTGTCTGTAGCTATCTGTGGCTGTGAGCATCGTTCAGTGAAATTAGCTTTTCCAAAACTGTCCTATGTCAAAAGCCATTGAGGTCAGTGAGCTGAATTTTTACATTGTAATAGATGGTAGAGAGTAGTGAGGCTGAACGAAATATAAAATGACAGCTAAATGGTGGTACTAAACGCCCAGATAGAGGCCAATTGAGAGCAATTTATGTTTCCCTTATACTTAATTTAAATATCATATGTATGGTTTTTTTTGTATTTATATTATTCTGTCTTTCCCAACAGTTTTATTGGGCATTCCCTTGGTAATGTCATCATCCGATCTGTACTAACTCGCCCCAGGTTTCGCTATTACCTCAACAAGTTGCATACCTTCCTGTCCCTCTCTGGGCCTCACCTTGGAACCCTTTACAACAACAGTACTTTGGTTAGTACAGGTAAGAGTTAATGGGAGGGCACCTACTGCATGTCTAAGACTGCTTCTTGGAAAATCCATAGGTGTTAAGCAACGAAAGAAGAACTTGCTTCCTCTGTGTTCTTCCACTTCTCTTTATACTGACAGTAAATAGAGGCATTTCCAAAGCTGAAGAAAACATAGTAGTGCGAGAGCTGAATGTCTCAGTGTTTAGCCTTCCTGGATGTTTAAGTTGTCACAACACTGGACAGTCCAAATGAGACATCTAGACTTTTCTCCTTGTTTATTAGCAATTCAAGAGGAAACAAAGACATAAAATAAGTAGTTAAAGTGCTAACCTTACTGAATTCACTTTGAGTTTATTATTAAAGGCACATATCTTTAATCCCTTTTGTTGATAATTAGCAAAAAGGTAAAAATATAGTCAAATTTCCATTGCAGGTCTATGGCTCATGCAGAAATTGAAAAAATCAGGGTCACTTTTGCAGTTGACCTTCAGGGACAATGCAGATCTGCGCAAGTGTTTCCTTTACCAGCTCAGCCAAAAAACAGGTGAGTGAGGCTTAATGTAATTGTGCAGATGTTGGGAGTTATTCCAAAGGATTCTGCTAGATTGCCGTCTCCTAGGAGGATTAAAAAATATGTATGCTATTACTGATCTTTCTTTAAATGTTCTGGCTTTTGAGAAGGGCAACTTTTTCTAATATTAATATCTGTTTTATTTGTGCCTTTTTTTCTGCACAGTTTTAAATGAATATAGTTGCCAAACAGTTAGTGCCCAATTAAAGCCTCCATGATGAAGCAAGCCTGCACCTAACTTCATATTCTTCAAGCAAGAAATAACAGGCCACAATCATTTAATTCATTTTAATAGATGCAAATCATTTTTTCTTCTTTTTTTATTATTTTTAAAATTTAATATCTCTTAGCTCTAAGAAATAGATGCTGTGAGATGAAGAGCAAATTTTATCCATAATTGCAAGGTGAAGATTCTAATCAATCACTGTTTGAAACCAAGACAGTTCTTGCTTTTTTTTTTTTTTTTTTTTTTGGTTATTGTTGATATATAATTAACCTATATGCACACTGGTAAGTATTAAATAGCTCACAAAAGGAGGATAAATAGTTTTAAAGCTATTCTTATGAATTTTAGTTTGTGCTTTGTGTTTTAATTGTTCTTTAACTTTAACTATTTTGCACTATAGATTTTAAAGTATTATTTAACATGAATTTTTGTTTGTACTGATCATCATTGTGCTGGACCAGAGAAGTTGTGGATGACCCATCTCTGGAAGCGTTCAAGGCCAGATTGGACTGTACCCTTGGCAGCCTGATCTAGAGTCTGTTTTAGTGGTTGGCAACCTTGTCTGGAGCAAGGGGGTTGGAATGGCTTCTATGATTCCATATTGGATTCTATGATTCTATGATTCTATTATAAATGTATTTAATGCATTTGTTTATTACAGGTCTTCAGTACTTTAAAAATGTTGTATTAGTGGCCTCACCCCAAGACAGATATGTACCCTTTCATTCAGCAAGAATAGAAATGTGCAAAAATGCACTCAAAGACAGGCATACAGGTATGTTTCTGTATTTGCAAAGCTGTTGAGAAGGAATGTTTTTGTGTAACAGAGTTTGTTGCATCACAAGAGTATTTCATCAGATGCACATTTCATAAGGAAGAAAGTATTGTTTTCTCACAGGAAATGACTAAAATCAAGAAAAGCTTTTAAAGACGTTATTTATTTGATGAATATAAATTGCAATTAGGTTGTGATTAAAGATTTCTTATTGATTCTTTCCCTTGCCCTCCTAATTATTTTTTTTAAACTGATGAAAATATAACTAGTTATTAACAGTGCTCCTCCTTAGTTTACTGAATTATTAGTATTGTCTCATACAGTGAAACCTCTCTTAGCACATCCAAAGTTAATGAGCTTTCATTTTGTTTTCAGTAGTGTTTGGATGATTGTCATGTAATTTGAGAGATCTAAAATCGTATTGGTTTGGAATAAAATCATGTAAAGCACATCAGGATTCAATCCATCAGATGCCTAGCTCTCCTGTGAGCACAGCTGTGCACTGTTCCTAGTATTGCCTTTGTTACTTACAGTTTCCCTCTTTTATAGAATATTCCATTGTTTCAGTCTGATACTAATTCCAGAAATAAAGTTCAGTATAACTTTTTGCGTGTTTCACATGTATGATTACCTGGAAATTGCAGTACTTCTTGGAAAGTAGAGACACCCAAACCCAAAAGTCAACATGGCTGCCTTCACACAGTTCTTTCTTTTTTACCCCAGATATGTACCAGGGGCATCTTTGATCTAGTATTTACCAGACCTACATTCAATGTATGTTCATGAGTAGAAGTTTCCTGAGCTGTTGTTGTTCCCCTATAAACTCCTGAGCTGTCTGCAGAATGATGATCCTCTTGCATCACATTCCCCAGAGAAACCTGTATAGGCCTCTATGTCTAAACCTAATAGGCCTCTATGTAATAAGTCTATGCCAGACCCTTTTGCGTCCAGCTTCACAGACAGAATAAGTCCAACCCTCTTCCCCAGAGGAAATGGGAATATTTTCTTCTATCTCAGGAGAAATAGGACTAAGTGCTGAGATGTGCCCCACTCTGTGCTAGGGGCTTCATTAGATTTCCCTGGATAGACAATGAAGAACGACATTTGTAACATGCTGTTACTTGGCAAATCTTTGTAATAAAGTGTTTCTACTGTGTTTTGTCCCCATTTCCATTTTCCACTGAGACTGTCCTTGTGTAACATGGAAAGAAAGAGGAGATCTGACATCTTTGGCATGTAACATCTAAAATCTTTTGCAGGTCCCATTTATGCAGAAATGATTAACAATCTACTTCAGCCTTTAATTGGGGCAAAGGACTGCACTTTGGTCAGGCACAACGTGTTCCATGCTCTACCAAACACCGCCAACACATTGATAGGCCGAGCTGCCCACATTGCTGTGCTGGACTCCGAACTTTTCTTGGAGAAATTTTTCCTTGTGGCGGGACTAAACTACTTCAAATAGTGCCTGAACTGTGGGATAACTGAAGCAAACCATTTCATTGAATGGAGGAGAATTCCTTAGCCAAAAGCTTCTAGTATTAGAAAGGAGATCAGTTGGGACTTTCAGACTCTCCATTTCCATTTCTGTTTCCAGAAAATAAAGTGCTATGGCTTTAAGGCATTCAGGCTTCCAAATATTGGTGCTTTTGGAAGAAACAAATATTCCTTTTCACTTTTTATGTCGTTTGTCTACATGAAGACATGAGTGAATTCCGAATGAGAGAATCAGAATATAGATGGTTAATTATCTAAATAAGGTGTGACCAACGTGTTTGCAATTTCTCTCAAATACTGACACAGGAACTTAGCTGTTCTTGATTTAATGCTTATTTATGTATTAACAAACACATCTGTAGCACTTTGGGATGATTAACACAAGAGGAAAGAAACGTATATGAACTCAGGTTAAAACCTCCTTTATGATGAACTGAAAAGTCAACATTCATGAAAATTTCAATGTTTCCATTTGTCAAAAGAAAATGATTTCAATATTCGTAATGGTTTGTAACATGCACATATTCATATCATGGAAAGGGGGAAATATTTAACATAGAATGAAAAAAATCTTGATATTTGTCTTTTTTAAGAAACCCTTAAATTAGTTAAACTTTTGTTCAAATTAGAAGCTGCCAGACTGGTAAGAGACTATTGGATTACTTGTGAAATAACAGTGGCATCTGTTAAGACTTCCTCTGTTTACATTTATAAGATACCATTATTGTGCTCGTCATTATAACCTTAGAGTTATTTTTTTTACTTTTACATTTGTATCCAAATACATTTACCCCAAGATAATTGTTTCTATATATCATTCGACCCTGAAATTCGAAATTTGACCAGTGATACCCCTGTAAAAATAATCCAGTGGAAATGGATCGGTGACCAAGAGCAGAAGGATTATGGAAAGCTCAAAAATATAAGGCTTCCTCTGCAATGCTCTAAGAAGGTTTTACTAATGGCCATCTGCAGTCCTAATTATTGTATGGTTACAGCTTGTTAAAACATTTAGAGTTTATTAATACAATGATATCGGAGTTCTTTTTAAGAGTATGAGAAATAACCCATTTTTCACTTTTCTATTTTGCATTTTTTTAATTAAAAGTTACCAGCATTTTAAATAACAAATTTCAATAAATTTCTATAAGTTTTCATACCATTTTAATAAATTTTCAAGGTCACAGCAGTTTTTTCAAAAAAAAAAAAAAAAAAAAGCCAACAGAAAATGAATAATTCTTCACTAATATTTTTGTTTGGAAGGATGACCATTTTTTTTTACTGTAAGTGTAATTTGGTTAGAAACATAACTGACCAACCTTGTATAATGAAGGAAATGAACATAAAAAGTGACAAAGTTGGTTCCAGATGTCAAGACTATCAACAGAGATCTAAGATAAAGTTGTGTAGATTTCTGAAATAGGAGGAACCCCCAGGGAAATATTTGTACACACACAGGATAAAACTTGCTGCATTCTGAAAAAGTGGGAAAATTGCATAAAATTAGTTTGAGAAAAGAGTTGCTAGCAAATTGAAGTGAAGATGATCTAGTAGTTTAGGCATGTTTTGAAATAGAAAGGAATAAGTAGTAATATACAGAAAGCTAAGACTAAGGTCATGTAAAATCAGGTAGGTATATTTCACTTAAAAATCATCTTCCGCCCTTCAAAAGTGACACTGAAATTAAATAGAAAGAATTACATGGTGCATTTCAATAGTGACAAGTTTTGTAAACACTAAATATTGCTGTAATATTTGAATAGGTGGATACTATTGTTGTTTTTTTTTCTTTCTTTGTTTTCCTTTTTAAAATTAACATTTTAAAGCTAGAAGCTGAATTTACTCGGTTAAAAATAAATTCTGTGTCAGGAATCAAGAACTTCTGGTACCCACATGTTGTTTTTGGAAGTCTTCATGGCTTTTCAGCGTCACAATTTTAGTTCCAGCTAAACCTATTTGTCAGCATCCTTCTTCCTTGGTCAACTATTTACACAGTGTCAAACATACTGAGACTTTTAGGTTAAGCTTCTATACAATGCAGTGGTTTTGATCTGAAGCCACTGACTTCCATGACTCCATGTCCATTGTGAAACACAAGGAAGAAAAACAGTCCCCAAATATCAGCAGTCTTCTGTGAATTCTGTAGTGATCTGTTCTTCTTTTAGAAAATTTTCACGAGTCTACACATGGAAAATTTCTGAAGTTACTGAAAGGCCACCTTACACATATGTACATACTTAATGCATGCATGTGTGTATGCAGCGTATACAAAGAAGTACAACAAAAAAATTGTGCTTATTTCAAGGTCTCACAATGCCATTTTTTTAAATCCTGAGTATACTGAATATGACAGCATACCAGTATCGTGCTTCGTAAACTTAGATTGATGATTTCCTGCCCTGCACATCAAACAACGTTCTTAACCTTTTGTTCACATGTCTGTGAGGTCTCCTTTGTATTACTGCAGAAACTGGTGGCCCTTTCAATACTCTACACTGCTATCAGTACTGAGATTGATGGATGAACATACCTAAAGGTTTCTGTGTTCCTATACATACAGTATTCTTCCATGGCCTGGTGTCTGATTTCAGTGGAGTTTGATTAGGTCCATGCAACTTGCTCCTTAGAGGATGTGATAGAAAGCTTCTATAGAGCCTCCAAAAAAATTTATGAGACATCATTCCAGAAAAATGATGTAACACAGATTTTATCTTTCTTCTGCTGCCAGAACATTATGGGAAATATTAGCAATAACAGTCTACCTTATCTTTCATTTTGAGGTTCTTGTAATAGTCTCCCTCTCTTTTTTTCTTCTTTTCTTTTTTTTAATGGGATATTGCCTTGATAATAACACAGGATATTTTAAGTCATCTCTAACAGTATAAAACATCTAACTGGTTGGACTTTGTCACAACATAGCAATCAACATTGACTCATTTTTAGAAGGTTTTTTATGTTGATTTATATAGAGAGAAATGTATATTAAGAATTAACTTTGTAGCAAATATCAGCTGTACGGTAAGCATCTATTGTGTTAATACTTGGAATTTGAATGTATTGTCCTTTCATATAAATCTTCATTATATAAATTTAATTTCATTAGCAGTATTGATAAGGCTTTCCCTTCTAACTGCAAACATATGGTTTGATGTGTCTGTGGAGGCTGTGCTTATTTCTTAAGCAAAGTCTTACATTCACAATGGAGAAGGCGGTTTTTCAACCGCCTTCTCCATTGTGGGGACATTACTGTATTTGAAATGAAATTTATCTCTGTGGGATTCTTTTCTAAAGAAGGAAAAAAAAACGAGCAACAAACAGCAATTTAATGTTTCTTCCAGGCTCCAATGAGTAAAATATGTTTGTCTAGTGAGGCTTGACAAACAGCCCAAATGAATAAATTCTCTCAAGGAAAGATAATAGATCACAAGATGGGAAAAGGACAACAAAGAGTCAGGATCCCAGGACCTTGAAAGACAATATTAAAAGCTAAAGGGAAGGAAGACAGGAAAGTGCGCTTAATGTAAGACTTTTTTGGGGCCTAGATTGTATGTGAAAACTGGACTGAATCACACTTGTAATTACTAGCTATTTTATTCTTTGAGGTGCAAATTTTCACTGGTACAGCAGGATAACAAGAAAAACACTAGAGACAAATCATGATTATTTAAAATTTGGATTGAAATGAGTCTTTTCTCAGCCTCCAATGATGCCCATTTCTCTTTAACAAAACTGTTCACTTGTTTTCAAAATCATGTCTTTCCACTGACTGTAGTGGAAGCTGAAATGGATTGGGTTTAAAAGGATGTATCCTTAAGGTTTGAAACCTTAGCACAGAGCTTTGGAAATCACTAGTAGGAATACTGAGCTTTTACTTCAAAGTGCTTCATAAATATTCACTGACCAATCCTCTTTACTATTCCCTTGCTTAAGATAGGCCAAGCTTGAAAGAGAAAGCTATTACATGGTTATGTGAAAGCTAGGAATTTAGGCCAAAGCTTTCATTAGGACTTGTATGTTTTTCTGGTGCTTTTTGCATGGTAAGAGATGATCACTTCCTTTCTACTGCTGCATTTGAAGTAGCTAATTGGTGATACAGGAGAAAAGTGAGAACTTGTAATAGTGGTTAGAACCTTTTGAAGGTTTATGTAAGTATCTCATTATATAATGATTAGTCACGGTGCACTTCTGCAGTAGTCACCTATCTGAATGACTGTTTTCTTTATGGACTTAAATTTCCATTTGAAAATTATCATCAGGACAGACCATCATATTTCATTCCAGCTGGTCATTTGGATGCTAAATGTCATGCCTGTATAGAATTATCTTGAGAGTGTTTTAATTCAATACATATGCACAACAGTTTTGATTTTGAATGTTATTAAGTAATTGCCAATTCCTGGTCAAACTTAAATATTTATTTACCCCTTCCCTTTGAAACAAATGTTGTGAACACAGCAAGACCTTATGAATCCCCTAATTTGCTATCTCTTGAGTGAGCTAAATTGCCTTAGGCAATTCTGCTTTGCCCAGTCATTCCAAAGTTTACACAGTTGCTTTTCCATTAACTGATTTCATCTCCCGCTTTTCTTTCTGGCTAAAGCTTCCATGAATGCCTTTTCTTTTTGTCCTTCAATCCTTACCTTCAAAAAAATCTACAAAATTATCTCATTACCTGAACACCTTTGATAGTCTCAAGAATAACCCTGGTGACTGCACCAACAAGTGTATCATATTGTCACCTTTTGTAGGCCTCTCTTTCAGCATCTAATACATCCAGGCCTACTTCGCGCTTCTGCGTTCCCACTATGATGCTAATTCGTGTTTTTACATGTTTTATTTAATGTGATCTTCGTCACGGTTAATGTTTAGGGAAAGTCTGTGATGCATAGACGCCTAATGCGAGTTGTCTCCACCTTGACATTAGAGACAGCTCTGTTTTCTCACCTTGTGACCATCAGACCTATGACA